CCTCTTGCCCGTTTGCCTACTGTAACAAAAAAATGAAATCGACTTGTTCCTTCTTTTCTTAAAGGAATAAGTCGAATTGGTTCGGAATACTTCAGTGGGCAGCTGGTTTCACGTAGTGCTGGGAACTTCCTTAAATATATTCTGTCTCGACGTCTGATGATGATAATTAAAAGACATATTCATATTTATATACAACAGCGCATTTCAGAACGAAAGAAACAAAGTTCTTTCGTTGCTAGTCTGTGACTTATTGACCTATTTCTAACGGAAATCTGTGGTTGAAATGCGGTCGGGACAAAATCTGTTTCCGTTGCACACAGATGGTTTTGTTTAATACTTTCTCTGCAGGTGCAAAAATTTTTTTATAGTACGTTGATATGCAGTTTAAGTTCTTATAAACATCTGAAAGAATTTAAAAAAAATAGCGTAATAACCTTTTTGGTCTGGTCCTGAATTGTGTATGTTTCGTGATATTTTTTTCCTACAGCATTTTGTGCCTGGCCGTCAGCCTTTTGAGTCTAAACATGTCATTAATTTCCACATAGACAGAATGTCCATTGGTGCACAGCGCCAACACTGCACCAAAAGATATTAAAGATTATTAAAAGTGAATTGTTAATGAAAGAAAGAAAGAAAAAACTTTATTATGCACAATATACAAGATATTTAGATAAAGTAAAGTGCACTGGCCCCCACACTAGGATTCCCTGTGTTGTGGGCAGCCAGTCTCTTCCTTTTGACACGTAAACAGTATTTTAAAAATTATATTAATTATTTCTACACATTTATATTAAAACTATTTTTGCACAATAAGAATATTTTCAGTATCAGAATAGGACAGGTTAACAAGATATCGTTTGAGATGTTTAGTAAATGTATGTAATGTGATTTTTGAAATGTTAGTGATAATTTTGTTTTTAATGAAGTGGTTAAAGATGAAAGGGCCTCGGAAGGAGAAAAAGCGTTGGGCGAAGAAAGTGCGAGTTTTGGGTTGCTTATATATGGGTTTGCGTTTTGTTTGATGCGGTGCGGTGGGTGTTTGTTTCCAAAAAAGTCTGCATATTGCTATTAAATATAATTGTCTCACAGTTAAAAGTTTTGTTTCATTGTACAATTTTGAAGTTGAGTAGCGGAAAGGTTTCTTATATGAAATCTTAAGAATGGCACGTTGGGTGCGCTCAATTTTCAGCATTGAAGACAATGCCGCTCCACCCCAAACCGATATGCAAGCAAAGATAATAACGACTTGCATAATGCAGTATACACTATCTTGATTGTATGTGGATCAGCAGGCTTTCTAAGGCGTTTGAAAACATTTATAAGTTTGCGAACTCGAGAACATAGGTAGTTAATTTGAGGGCCCCAACAAAGCCTTGAGTCAATAATTAATCCCAGAAAAATAATAAAAACAATACGTTTATTATGGAATATAAGATACAGGTATCACTTATTCCACGTCAATAAATTTGAAACTGTAGTTATCCCTACTCATCGGCAAAGAAGACGGAGGGTGTAGGCCGAGAGAAGAAGCCGGCGTAAAAGCTCTCGGTACTATTTTAAAAATAGTAAATCATCAAACAACACTTATTTTAAAACAAATATCGCAAACTAATTAAAACTGTTCACGTAAATCATAAACAAGCTACTCTATGTATAGACTTCAGATTTTACCTTTTGTTTTTTAAACTTAAATATGGAGGCTCACCAGAGTGATACCGCCCGCCTTTTTACCGTGCCTGGTAAACGCATGTCAAACCTGGTCACTCACTGATAAGGGAGCGTTCAACTTTTACGTCACGCAATTTTTGGAGATTATTTAACCCTCCCCGTGTAACGCGCCGTAACGTAAACCAACTATAGTAAACGTTTCATGACCACGTAGTGACTCTTTATACTTAACAGTTACCATTATGTGTGGTAATCCCTAAAATCGTTACGTAATACTTGAACGCTCCGTAACAAGAAAAAAACTAAGAGTAAAATATAGAGATAGTCTAGAAGAAATAAGACAAAGTTTAGAATTGCTGTTACTTTAGTAAAAGATTGAAATGGAAATGGAAGGAAATTAAGAGAAAAAAAAATGACGAAAAAACATTATCCATAAAAGGAAGAAAATAAAGATGGGAAGATGAACCAAGTAGAACAGCTGGCCCTATGTGGCTACGTTAAGCCAGACACCGAGAAGAGTGGAAACTCTTAGAGGAAGCTGTAAAACAGAAATTAACCGACTTACCGATTAATAATTAGTGTTTATAGTACTTCACCTTTTCGTATTTTATAGCAATAAAGGCTATTATAATTATTTACCTAAGTACATATATATATGTACCCAATATAACCGTGTACTAACCACCTGGTATATTTGAGATGACTGGACAGTGGACTGTTCCATAAGTTGGAATATATGTACTAAAAATGCAACTATTAAAAAAAGAGCGTGCGTACGAAGTACACATGTCAGAAGTGAAACTTCTTTGGCAAACTAATTTTTAAGTCTTATTCATATTTACACAAATCTAAAACTTTAGATTACCGAGACTTAGAGGGAGGAAAAAGGAAGATATGTTAGGAATTTATTGAATTTAATTGTCATTAAAAAATGTCGAAAATTAATACAAATTATATATTTTTTTTTCATTTATTTCTTCGATAATAAAAATACGTGGCATTTTAATTTACAATTCGTCATTTGCGATTTTAATAAATTATTTTGCATAAAATATAAAATACTTAAGTACTAATAATTCATAAATTCTCTTTACGAAATTTAAATTTTAAAAATAGAATTTCTATAAGGTAATTCACCCTTCTCACTCTCTCCATCGGTCTCAATCGCTCTTTCCCTTTTCTTTGACAAAAACGCTGCACATATTCGTGACGTTTTCGTAAAAAAAATACCCTCATAAAGAAGTTATAGTTCAAAAAAAACTAATATATCTTAATTTTATTCATCCAAGTATCTCTCTAATTAGATTTACTTAAGATTTGAATAAGTATAGAATATAAGATTTTTCAACCTAAAAGTAAAATATAAATTTTATTACAGACTTTATCGAAATCAAATTGATTCGCTCTGCCCGATTTAGGTGTAACAAATCACTTAAACTTACAAATAATACACAGTTTTATTGCTTGATTTAGTTTCCAACCATTTTATCATAATGAGTAATGTACTGTATACAAGTTCTATATATTTACTAAGTAACATAAAGGAATGAATATTCTTATAACAAAAGACTATTAATTCAAAATAAAAGAAAACAACGGTATATTTTTAATAAATTGCATTTATTTCTTACACTGAAAAGCGCCGTTTCCATCCCTTTAAATGTCGTACGGGTTGCCTATACGGCTTTTCAGTTCGCGAATTTCTCGAGTAAGATTCTTATACGAATGAAAACACGGAAGCGATGCCCGCGAAACATAATTTTCCTCAACAAAACTCATAAGCCTGCCGGAAAGTCGCGATTATTTCCCGCCATCCGGCGCCTCGACCAACCGAAATTTCGCGCCCAAAATCCGCCAGCCAATCACGCGAATGACCGCCATTTTGAACCAATGGTCGCCGATCCCGCGCTCGCGCCATCGCGTCACTCTCACATCTTGAAAATTAGTACGACAGTGCAGTGAACCCCGACGGTAAATTCGTGATTTTCAGTAAAATTTCAAATTAAAAGTATTAGGTAAGTCATTTATGTGTCTATACCAAGAAAATTTGCGCGCGTTTATGACGTTTTTTGACAAAATTCCTGATCACGCATTCTAGTACAAATTTTTGATCAAAGTTTTAAGTAGATGGTACGAGGGCAAGTTATGGAAGATTCTAATTTGAAATGAAACTCAAGTGCATAATTTAACAACATTTAAAAGATTACAAATGCGAATAATTCGGTAGTAAAGAGAAAACCTCTAAAATGTATTATCTAATTCAATAAAATACTTCGACTCGGGTCTCGGCTTGGCAAAATGGCGGCTGTTCTGTGCTGCGTGCACGAGCATCTATCTCTTTCTGATTAGCCCAATTATGTAGGCGTGCGATAAAGAGAGCTATATTCTATTAGATAAGAAGTTTTAAAGTAGGAATCACGCGTATAACTCGTAACTAGACACGTCTTCGCTTTTCGTAAACAAGAGAGCTGTGGTGTTGCCATTTTTGAATCTCCCAGATTAAGGGAAACCACATAGCTTATTTCTCTATATTATAATTTAAAGTATAGTATTGCTGGCTAGAAATAGTGATTCATTGGAGTTTATTAGTAGCAATGTTAATGTTATTAACAATCAGGAGATGGCGCTTATCTAAGTCATATAGATTTTAAAAGTTAAGTTTAAAAACAATATTAAATACAATCAGTGATTGGTATGTAATGTATCTGTAGTTCTAGAAGAGATTTTGAGTTATTACTTTTAAATTAAAAACACATCTAAATCTTTTTTGTCACATCTACGCTAAAGCAACATTAATCCATGTAGGTATAAATTTATATTTTAGTATTAGGATTACAGTAATATCATTAAACGAAGTGATCAAGGGCAGATCTTCTGTCTTATCATCCTAATGTCTTATACATTAATGCGACATAGCTTTTAATGGACTAGATAATAAAAAGGTGTACTTTTTATTTGATATTCCTGGTTAACATTACGGTTAAGTTTTTCTGCTGAATTTAAAACACTGGCAGCGCCACACTGCGTCGAGCGGGGAAACTAAAAGCGACGCGTTAACCAAGCACGCGATCACTTAGCCCGACGCACACAGACACATTCCACTGCGCTACGCATTCAACGCTGAACGCGGTACGCAGGCGCAAACGCAACGCACACACGGCACAGTCTGAATTTGAGATTCCGTGCGTGTGGTTGTGTTATCGCAGCGCGTCGTCGCGTCGTACGATTTGTTTACAAACTTTAAATTAACTAAATTAGTATTCTAATAGGTGCGTGATGAAACTTTAGGTGATTAAAACTAAACAGTTATTGTTTATTAGGTCACTGCGTCGATGCGATCCTGTATTAGAGTGTTTGACAAGAAGATGTCTGCGTTGAGTGTAAGGGCTCCCGGCCTACAAGCCACTATGTTGAACACTAGGTCACTGCGAGTGCAAGGAGAAACTACGATAGATACGGTGCGAAGAAATCTATTCGGATGCACAGATAAAGAGGAAAACAGACGTTTCGTTGAGAGGGAGCTGGCTCGGCAATTGGATTTGGATAGTCAGCGTTGGGGCTTCGATTTTGCGAATGAGAAACCTCTAGCGGGTGACCAGAGATTCGCCTGGCAGCTTGTTCCGGCCGCTACGATTCCTGCTGCTCTACGCCGGTCACCTATCACCATAACGCAACAGGCGACGAAACCAGTGAAAGAAGCGAAAGTCTCCAGTCCAAACAACAATAAAACGCAAAAACCACAAAGGAGAATGACAGGTTAGTTGTATTATGTTAATAACATTGTAAACAATATTACCGATACGTCTGTGGTGCATTTGTATTGGCGATACGAATGTTATCATTACTGTATTGTTTACATTCAGTGATGATAAGGAGACGACTTTTGTTATGTGCTAGCTATTATTCTTATTTCATTAAAATAGAGAAAAAAACCCCTAAAAAATGAAATGTTTTTTTAATATTATAAAAAGATATAATTTTTCTAAATTTTTTCTCTGTTGCCTGCACACATTTTTTTAGTGTCCGTGTGTTTTTCACCTTTTCTTCTCTCTCCGCGTTTTTTTTTTTTTAATTCTTATTTCATTAAAATAGAGTCAATTTAAAAATCTTTCAACTTTATTCCAAAGCATTAACCAGCTTTAAAACACTTAAAATTTAAATGTTTTTAAACATAACATTGGATAGTAAAACAATTCAAGTGATTCGTGATATATGAATTAAAATTTTAGCTAGACTGAATGTCGTCGTAAGAATAGTATCTATGTAGCTATTGTTTGTATGAACCTATTAGGTTATAGGGTAATATAAGGAACATTGTAACTAAACAATAGAGCATCGAAAATGAAAATATGTTTAGTGTTTCGTTAGTCGCGCCTCGTAAAATTATTTAAATACATAAATAAACACTACTGTGTTACTAGGACAAGGTTTTACTTGACAATATCTAATTTTTTTCGTATATTATTTTATAAGAGATACTGGTTCTAATATTGACTATAGAACATAAACAAAAAAAATAACATGAGCGAGAACATTTGGCGCCTAATTTTGAAAATCGAACTAATAAGCTTGTTTTTTTTTTATATCCAGCCATTAAAAAATACTTAGCATCCACACGTTAAATGTCTATACTTTCATAAGTGTTTATTTAATCTGTGCTACAAACGTGTGCCAAACGATCCAAGCACATAGGTGTCACAATGACCTAACATTTGACACTCATATCCATCGGAATACATAAAACCCGAGACGCTAACACAATAATAACCCTCGCCAACTTTTTGCCTATCAATTTTCACCTCCGTAATTAAAAATTAAGATTCAAAGGTTCTTAATACGGAAGTAAGGGATGTGTTTAACTGCTTATTAGATTGTTTTTATGGTGTCAACCCTTAATGGGGAAACAAATGAAGGCAATTTTTTTCCTGACTGCTCTTAATAATGTAGAAAGTATAGCGTTTTGTGGTTTTTTATTGAGTAGACCTATTGTGAATTGCCCGGTTCAAAATACCACGTAATAAGTAGTACTAAACTCATTACTCAGAGTCGGTAATTACAAGTTATTTAATGTAATATGTGTTCAAAGATCACATCGGAAGCTAAAAAAATTAAGTAAATCGGGCCGTACTTTAGATATATATGTATATTAGTAGCATCGCTCTTCAGATATTATGTTAATCTACTATTATGAGTAACCGTCCGTTAAATTATGAATTGACCCAGTTCATTTGTTTTGATATACGCACACACTTGGTGCCTCCCACACTTGTCCTATTTTAGAGTACACATGTTGAAAGGCGATAATAAATACTATGTAAACATTTGCGTAAATTTTGATTCTTTACGAACAAATGACGTTATCTGTCACACTTAGGTAAAGCTTACGTCAAATCAAAATGGCGGCCTCATTGATTACTTTTATTGATTGAACAATAAATGCATGTATTATATAAACTTTTAGAATGTTTAATATTTTCTTATTACGTAATTTGGTATGTATTTTTTATTTAAATTTAATTAAAAAAATATATGTTAAAGCAAAAAAATAAAATCTTCCAACTGCGTTATATAATGTAATAATCTATGGCATCCCTTTACCTTTTAATCCACAACGAAAAAGACTACTAAAAATAGTCTGTGCTCGTATTCGGATTTTTAAATTTGGAATCTAACCTGCATAAATTTCAAATTGAGAATCACTTTGAAACTGACCGTGCTTAGCAGGGGGCAGTAAAGAAACATGTCACCCAGTTTCTTACAAACCCCTAATATTCCGTAATTACACCTTTCCGATGTCATTGAACTCTCATAAGTGGACGAAACTGCGGGGTTTCTAAGTTTCTATGAAATTGTAACAAACGGTCAAGTTTCTATAATTGTAACGTAGCGTGGGTAAATGCGACGGCAATTTTGATATTTTTAACCGTTCATTAGCTACCGTTAGACAAGAGTAGAAGAACAAAAATCAGTGAAAGGGATTCGTTAATCTGTCTTACGTAAACAACTTCGCGATTTTCTACTATATTCGTAATTTCAAACTGGTTTCTCGCTACATAAAATTACGCTTCCCCATATAAAAGAGAAAATAATATCGCACTGCTATTGGTAATTCGCGTACAATGCGACGCGTGCGCATTGTAAGTCACCCTCGCGGATTTATCAACGGTTTTATTGATTTCTATATCTATCGCTTTCACTGGTATTATTACGTATGTACGCGCCTGCAAATTTTAAATATCGAACGTTTTTCTTAACAATTTCATAGTCTGTGCCACCACTGGTTCACTAATTCGAAATTCAAATAATTCGAATATTGGGCGTGTTCGGCCGAAGTAAGTACTTACTAAATTTAGTAAGTCACTTACTATGCTTACAAAATTTTCGGCCGGGACACAAAATAAGTGCTAACGCAGTAAGTATGGCTTAATATACGACGCCATTTTGCTTATTGTTGATGTAAACAAAACGGACAATAAAATATCCAATAAAATATTTCTCATAAAATTATCCATTTGAAACTATTCACAGGTATTAAATTATATTCCTAAATTTAGTACTGTCAATTATATTCAGGTTGTAGAGGTTCTATGAGGTTATGTACGGGATATGACATAAACCGGTGTTTTGTGTTATGTTAATAAGCCAGTAAGTCTGTCCTGGCCGAAAAGCGCTACAGTCAGCTTGTAAGACTTTAATTTTTTTATGCTTACTGGCTTACTAAGTTTAGTAAGTACTTACTTCGGCCGAACACGCCCATTGTCAACATCAAAAAAAACAGCGGATAGTAATGTGCAAGACACGTTCCATTTATGAATTAAAATAATCGTAGTGTCGTAATTGTATTTAATAAAATCATGAAATTTTAAATATCGAACGCTTTTCAAAACTATTTTATAGTCTTCTTCTATTGATTCGAAATTAAAATTATCCTAATATATTTAAACGTATAAAATGTATTCCTTAACATTGTTTTAAATAATAATAAAAAGTCTATAAATTAACCGCATTAAAAGCGGATAGTAATTTGCAAAGACACGTGCCATTTATAAATTTAAAGCATCGTATTGTCGTAATTGTATTTAAGAAATGCGGTGATTTCGACGCGTGCGTCCCTGTCATTTCACCCTCTGTCAACGGCTATATTGATTTTTTAACTGTCACTTTCCCCAACTTATAGCTTCCTGTTACATTTTACCCTTCGTTTGTAATATATTAGACATTTCAGCTGCACTTTTTACGATCCATAAATAATATTTATTTAATAATGTTTTTTTAAATTGTAATAAGATATTGTTGATTACAACTTATATAATTACATAGACCTTGTTATTTGTACAATGTAAAAATTCCTGTTACATTTGTGTTTTAAAATATTTATTTGTGTCTGAGATAATATACAGTTAACCCTATATCGCGTTCGAACCGGACCGCGTTGTAGGAGTATTCTCGTAAAACCGTTTTTTAGAACAATCCAAAAAATGGTAACACTTTTAATTTCATAACAATACAATTGAAACGGGTACAAAGGTACGCAAAACTAATTATGGACTTAACAAATCATTATAAATTTCACACTACAGAAATATAACTTGAGAAACCTCCGCGTTATATGGAGGAACTACCGCGTTATACGAGGGATTACTGACCCTAATTCCTTTTCCAAACATACTTTCGGAAAGCAAAAAGTCTAGACACTCGACAAACAAGATCGCGAAAAATCGATGTGGGTGATTAGAAAAAATGTCAACACACGTGTTCGATATTTGAAAATTGTATCAGATAGGGGAATAACGGTCGCGGCGGCATCTGCTACCCCCGCGTGCTTTTAGCATAATATTTATAGCACCCTACATTCCGCATCGAGTGACCGTGGGGATGCCATCATCTGTCCAAAGATCGATTTCAACACGCAACACTCATGGCGTTCCATTTTTGAATTAGCCAACGTTCTATTTTCGAATTGTGCAAGAGTAATGACTAGTCGACAGTTCACGTATATGAATCATAACGTACCTACTATCTACAAATTGTTCTCTTAAAGAACATTAATTTATTATTATTACATATAATTAAAACTATTATTTTAATGGCCTCACAAGCGTTTTGTATGCGTCTCATATCACCTCATTCCATACAAACGTTCCTAAGGGGATTTATCATGTCTGCATATCGATTTCATTCACGCAACAAATGAATTACGATAACTTTTGCTAACGTTCTAAATTTAAAATTGTGCAATTGCGTTCTATTTTTGAATACAGTTACTTGACACTTTGCAACGCGATGTTATCGAAATATTTAGTTCAAAGAAAATGGATGTTTTAGGTATTATTAAGTATATTTTTTTATATTGGGTAGAAAAAGTAGCTGCAGTGTTTTTACCCCGATATTGCATTTGGCAGTTAATAAGCACTGAACCATATTACACTGCTTCCTTAGGGTTCCGCAGGTGAGCACTTTGTCGTGAGAATTGTGTTGCCAGTTACCGATTAGCAAGTGTCGTTAAAATTACATTAAAAATTAAATGTTGAAAGGATCTCCCTCTAACAGGCTTTTAAGACAACAAAATTAAAAATGCGCCAACTTTTTCTGAACTAGTATTTGGTATCCATTTGCGTAGTGGTATCTTACCTTTTATATAGCAATACTTTCTAAATAAGTATGTTAGAAAGTCTTGCGCACGCGCAGTTATTTGAATGGTAAAAAATCTTACTCTAAACAGTCTTAGTAGATGTTTTTACTAGTCATTTTTGAGTATATA